TGTGAAAGCAGCAGCGCACGGGACGTGGGAGACAGTTCAGCAAGATGCGTCTCGCACGCGCGCTCATCACAGGTTCGGGCAGACGGCAGAGGGATGTTACCCTGCAGGGCCTGCAGTAGGCGGTCGGCGACAGCCGGTGCCCGGGCTCGGGCAACAGGCAAAGTATCGCACCAGGAGGCCCAGTGGGCTGCATAGCGCTCAGCCTCAGCGCTCCTGAGGCCGAGGCCCCCAAATCTCAATGCCAGCTGCGCGGCTGTGTTGTGGCAAGGGCCCTTCCCCATAATCGAGCAGAGCAGCGACGCAGTGTGCGATGGCCGCGTCATGCATTGAAGCATAGGCACCCGTGAGGTGAGGCGGCAGAGCCCGGAGAAGGTAGTTGGCGCGAGGCGCTGCGCAAAAGAGCAGTAGCAGCCATGCTGCCTGCAGATCATGAATGCGCGGGATGCTCTGCAGCAGGCGGTCCTGGAACCTGCGTTTGGCTGATGGCGCACAAACGCATCCGATCCCAGCGGGGGGCCCAGGACAGTGAGGCCCTGTTGCTTTGCTGGCAGGGACCAGTCGCCGACCCACACAGGATCTTCGGGTGAGGCGCGGAGGGCTGACAGCTGGGGAGTCTCTTCGCCAGCTGCGTTCCAAACACGGGTCTTGCCTGCGTTGAGCTGCACACGGGCATGCGCCCACAACGCACGCGAGTGCAAAGGCTTGACGCGCTGAGGCGACGCGATGACATAAACATCGTCGAGGAAAGCAAAAATTGCTTCCCCATCCTGCAAGAGCCCTTCAGTTTCGCGCAATCGTGCACCCCCGCCGACAGCCCCGGCGCTTCTGCCAACAGTCGCTGCCATTCCCCGGAACGGAAAAGCTCACATCGGCGCTGGAGCTCGCTGGTCGGGATGCGTGTTTCCCCAGAGCTCCGGTAAAGAAGCATGCGCGGCGCGAGGACAAAAAGTTTCCAGCCCCGTGTTTGGCCCTCTGGCGACGACGAGTCTGCTGTGAGCTCGAGGCCTCTGCGAAAGGCACCTCATAAGTTTATCCCCAGAAAGCTGCGCAAACCCCAAGCAATGCGAAGAAGTGCTGTGGCCAAGGCTTTGGAGAAAAACGGCGGGGAGGCGCACCTGGGCAAGGAGGCCGATGGGAGGCGCCCTGCGACGAGGTGTTGTGTGTATGTCCCCCGCGGCAGCCCAAGCGGCGCCACAGAGGTCTTCAGCCTGGAGGCGGAGTTGCAGCACACAATTGCTTCAGAACCTTGAACAAAGCAAAACTGGGCTCCGGGCTTTTCCCGCAAGCCGGCAAAAACTAAGTTTGGCGCCCCGAAGGGCGGCCGATTGAGTGCAGCAAGAAACTGAGGCTGGGGCTACGGCTGTTGCTTGATCTGTGTCAAGCAGATCAAAAGTCCCTGCAGACGCGACTGTTGCAACACCTATGTCACAACACCACACTGTGGTGGTGACGTTGGGGCAGCGGCCAAGCTGTGTGAAGGCGCCGCGGCCACAACCCCACCCTCGGCTATACTGAGCCCACCCCTTGACAACAAACCTGGGGTCTGGCCTCGTCAACAGGTATGGTGTTGCCGGCGATCCGGCGGCCTAAGCTCTCGGAGCACCCGAGGCACAGGCTGCAGGAAAAAACGGGGAGGCTGAGACTTGGGGCAAGTGAGCAGGGTCGCGCAGGTCAGTGCGTCGGGAAGCGGCCGAGGCGGGCACGGTACCCAGAGCAGTGGCTCCTGAGTTGCTGCTTGCGCTTTCCTGGAAAGGTCCTCGCCGCTCGCCGCCGCGGGACTGAAACGGCGAGCCAGTCAAAAGCCGGGCGCGCAGCCTTTGCCACTGCTCCCCAAAGCGGCTGCCACGTGGGCGCGTGCGCTTGTCGGGCTGCCTGTCTTGCTGGCGCTCCGAGCGCGCAGGCGGCGGTGGTGGCGTAGGAGGTGGCTTGGGGGGTGGCGAGCGGCTTCGCCGTGCGCAAGGCCTTTACAAAGATTTGCACAGCGGTCGCGGCGCATTGCATCAAGTGTTCGCCAGGGACTGACAACGCTTCAGAGACAGCCTCACCCCGGTCTCTGGGTTACCCGGGTTCTCGCCTGCTCGAAGTCGGATCCATCACTGTGCAGTCCAAGCAAGATGTGCCTCGCATCCCCCGGCTATGCGCCTGTTTCAAGCGCGACCAGCTATGCACCCTGCGACAATCCCCGCTCTTGCACTGTATGGCGGCAGCTGACGCCATGGCCGAGGGCGACACTGTAGGAATTGGGGGCTGGATCAGCGCAGCAAAGAAGTTCTTCTGGTTCTCCGAAGAATGGTCTATGACGGAAGTGCGCCACTTCTGGCCAGAGCTCACCAAAAATGCGCAGGCATACATCTCGTGCTTCGAGACCTTGGCACAGCTCGCGCTAGCAATGCTGGCACATCGCAAACTGCACTCGAGGCATTTCAAGTTTGTTCTACCTACAGCCTCAGACAATACCTCCGCAGAGGCCGGCATTAACAAGCTCTTTACAACCACAGAGCCCCTGTGCCAGTTCCTGAAACTCGTGGCCTCATGGTCTGCGCCGCGCAACATCCAGCTTGCAGTTTCTCACCTCGCTGGTGAGAAGAATGTTTGGGCAGATGAGCTTAGCAGATCCAAACTGCAGCGCTTCGCTAAACGCACGGCAGACAGGGAACGCATTCCGCTAGACATGCTGGCGTCCCCGCAAGGCGTCATTACTCTTCACCCACCGCATGCTGCATGGGCGCAGCCACTTCTCGACGCACAGCATGCTTGAAGAGACCTCATATCGCACAGCGCTCGCACACATTGCTTGCCAGACAAAGAGCAGTTTGCCTTCCTGCGCACCGCAAATGACTGCACGCTCTCTCAGCTTGTCTCTCACTGCCCTGCTGCTAGGTACTCACCACTCTGACGCGGAGGGGCAAATAGACTACGTCGCAGAGTTGCTCGAACTT